CATAAAGACAAATATAGTATGTATTACCTTATATGTGGCTAATAGCTGTTAAGTCAATGATAACCAACCTATAATCCACAGAACCACAGAGGTTGGTTATAGAGTAACAGCCTGGTGTTGAGGTGGGGGCAGATAAATCTCCCTAGGAAAGGGGAAAAGAATAGTTATGAATAGATGGGGTGGGGACTGGAACAGGAGAGTGGGACAGAAGAGGGTGATGAGGGAGGGAATATGGGGAGAGAGCTAAAATTATACAGTAGAAGCTTTCTAAAATGCATACATATATGAAGACCATCTAAATGAAATCACCAAATGATGGGAGAGACAGAGTCCATGGGAAGCCCCAAACAATCAGGCTCTTGCCAAGACCATAGGTTGCTCTCCACACACTAAAGGCTTAAACAACATCCATACAACTCATTGAACATGGAGAAGTCAAGCTAGTGCCCACATAGAGCCCTCACAAAGATATTCTAGCATCTTTGGTACAGAAAGGTACTGTACATGCCACCAAAGAAAAACAAACACCAGCCCAGCCACAAACCATCTTATCTACAATGGCGACCTGCCAGCAAGATATACTAGTATAATTTTATGGAAATAATCAATCAGTAATTGATTTAGGCCCATTCCACAAGTCAGAACTCATAACCAACACTGCTTAGGTGACCAAGAATCTAAGACTAGATAGACCAGGGACTAGGGTAAAACTAAATACTGCTGGAGGAACATACATGGCAATAACATGACTCCTAATGACATTTTGGTATACTCGGTAGTGTATGATCGATGCCTTGTTCAGCCATCATCAAAGATGCTTCCTCCTGCAGCAGATGGGAACAAATACAAAGACCCACAGCCAGACATTATGCAGAGGGCAAAAGACCTTAGAACACTCATTCCTAAGTGGGATGTCTCCATCAAATCCCTCTCCTCAGGGAACCCTGCAGAAGAGGAGTAGGAAAGAGGGTAAGAGCCAGAAGGGATAGATGACACCAAGGAAACAAGGCCTTCTAGACACAACAGGACTGTCACACATATGAACTCACAGAGACTGAGGCAGCATGCACGGGACCCGCATGAGTATGCACCAAACGCAGTCCTAGAGGTGAAAGGAGACATCGAAACATGCTCCCATCACTAGCCCAGAGGCAACCTCCATTGATAACCATTTGCAAAAGCAAATTTAGTTTTCTTTAAGGAAGTCTCACTGGGAAAACAAACTACTTTTAAGGTAGCCTGAAGGCCCAGAAATAGATGGCCAACAGGAAAACAAACCCATTGACATCTCTAGAGTTTCCTTGCCTCATATCAGAGATTTTTTTTCTTTCTTTTTTTTTAAATTATCTTATTTTTAATTTTAATTTTATTGTATTCATATTTTTTTCTTCTCTCTTTTTACACTATAGGTCCTTTGTGCATATATTATGGCTTCCAGTTTAGTGTTTTTATGGGATTCCTGGGTGTACTAAATGAGCAAGTCTCTGTTTCTTGTGCCTTCTCTTGGGCTCTTTTCCTTCTGGTTGTTTTGTACAGTTCCAATGTGTCAGTTTTTGATTTATGTTATCATATTTTACTGTACTATGTTAATTTTATTTTATCATCATCCCTTAGAAGCCTGTCCGTTTTCTAATGAAAAACAGACATGGGTGGGTCTGGATAGGAGGGGAGGCTGAAAGGAACTGGGAAGGATAGGAGGGGAAACTGTAGTCTGAATATATTTATATGAGAAAAAAATCTATTTTCAATAAAAGGAAAAAAAAAACAAAATTGAAACAGAAAGATGCCTCCCATTTCCAAGATGCTACCTAGAAACCAACCAAGTGGTAACCACTTTCTGGTGACAGTCACATCCACTGACAAGCTAAGAGTCAGGTGGCAAGCTGGACAAGGTAAGGGGGGTTAAGTCACGTGTATTGTTGAGTTTGGTTTTGAGGAGGCCATGCCCTGTCAGTGTCAAATGGTGCTGGGGACGGCATATAAGATGGCTGATGTGCTGCCAGCAGAGATTGGAGAAAAGGGGACCCGAGATTGTGGACCACCAACCCTCCGTGTGTTCCCCTCCAGATCTTCTGCTTAGCATGCCTCTAGAGGGCCAAGGCAGAAATGCCTGTGTCCCAAGGTCATGCTTTATGGTGTGCACATGTCATGCCCTCCTCCATATAAATATTTCTTGTAATACTAGTCTTCTTCTTCTATCTGATCTTTATGTTCTGTGTTCTTAGACCAATGGTGATTTCTGTGATGCAGGAAAGGAGTGAAGTAAATTTCACAGGAAATTATACAGAAATGATCACTCAAGCTGGGCTTAAGGCAGTTATGTAGTTCATGGAAAAGAACCTGCAGCCTGGAGAAGCCTTTTAGGCTTGGATAAATTGTACTGAATGTGTGGTCAACTATAGCACATGGTATGATGTGTATCAACACACTGGACTCAAATTGGCCATGATGAACAATTCAGTTTCTGAGGATATTCCAAGGGAATTGTGTAAAACTTGAGACCCTAAGGGGTATTGGCTGAAGACTGTTGATGGAGTACCATACAGATGGGATGACAAACTAAAAGTGTGGGAACCTAGAATAGGAGGAAAGTCATGGCCTCCACCAAGAAAGGGAGATGGCAACTTTAATCCAGATTTTTTATTTCTCCTGAAGGAGTGTGGAGACAATGTGACAATTGATGGAGTGATTGCTACAAGCTTTATTGGGTTCCTAGATTGAAAAGAGCTGCCAAGAAAGGTGAGCTTCCTTTCATAGAGGCTCTAAAAATTAGATTAAGTCTTCCTTGGAATTGTTGGATATGGAAGGACAGAAGTTGCTGACTTGCAGGGACAGATTTCTTGTTTGAGATCATTGTGGCCCACCAGTCATGGGGCTTGGTGTTTGCAGAGGGCTGAGGAAGAACTTAGGCGGCTGCAGGGGTCTTGAGGTTGGAGCAGGTTGTGTGAGAAGGAAATGACTACCGGGTACATTGACCACTGTTCTTATTTTTACCTTTTTTGCAAAATTGCATGTTGCTAGCCTCTGGGTCAAGTGCTCAAAAGATTGTATAATCATTAATAATAAAAATAGATTATGCTTGCTTTGGTGTTAAGTCTGGGATAGTTCCTGTGCTTAGTAAAAGATAAAGAATATATTGGTGATTTTCTAAGAATAACTTTTGGAATCATGAGAACATTTTGTATTGGGTGATTTCCCCTCTTCTTTTTGTTCCCCCTTTTCTTTTGATAATAAAAGACTGAGGTTACCTGTCGCTTGAGTTTTCCGCCTTGCCCACAGTCAGGACAAATCTTTGTCACCCGCAGTCCCACAATCCACTTATAAAATAATCAGACACTTATATCACTTATAAACTGTATGGCCGTGGCAGGCTTCTTGCTAACTGTGCTTATAGCTTAAATTAGTCCATTTCCATTAATCTGTACCTTGCCACGTGGCTGGTGGCTTACCGGCATCTTCACATGCTGCTGGTCATGGCGGCGGCTGCAG